AGACTCAGCTAGATCCCAGATTTCTTTGTCAGTTGCTCATCCTTTTGATACAATGATTGGGAATATTTGTTTTTTATCTAACTCTTCTGGTCGGAACAGGAGAATTAGACACAGCTATTTCAGAATGAGACTGCTTCTCTCCCGTGCATTGTGTCCTACTGGAATGGCCAGTTTATCAACATTCCATGGAAGAAAGTGTGGACTTTGTCGTCTAAATATTTAATAACCAATAAGGTCAAGGATGCGTCCTATAAATTACTTCATCTTTTTTATCCTGTAAAGCTTTACTTAAAAAGAATGTTTCCTGATATTGACTCTTTATGTTCTTTTTGTGGTGCTGAAGATGAATCTATTTCTCATCTCTTCTGGGAATGCTCATATACAAGAATGTTCTGGATGGATTTCTGTATTTTTGTACGCACATTTTCATCACAAAGTTTTTCTTTGTTATACAAAGATGTTTTATTTGGTCAGCACAATTTTGATAAAGATGCAAAGGCCCAATATTTCTTGATAAATTTGTTTATTTTTCTAGCAAAATTTTTCTTACATAAATGTAAATTTCAGGGTGCTAAGCCTTACTTTTTTATTTTTCATAAGGAACTTAAACCCTATCTGGACACACTCCTTACATCCAGCAACGCCATTGTGTCATTTGTACGATATTTTCCTGATTTTGTAACTTGAATTTGTACTCTCAATTGTATGTACTCCTGGCATTGATGGTGTATGTTCTTAGCAATGCAATAAAAAAATAAAAAAATAAATTAAAAAACTACATTTCTAACTGGCATGCACTGCTTCAAGTCAGCCGCCGATCGGTCTGCGCAGTGCTGCATGAAGTCGAACGCACCTAATCACTGCATCACAGCATCATCACGTGTCACTTCAGCTCAAAGCCTTCCCATCGACATGTGCTCATTTCACTCGGCTGAAGCCTTTCTATGATCATCGGTCAGTGCACTGTGCAGTAAACACAGCTGATGTTTCAGACCACCGCTAACACTGACAGTCTCTCTGTGATTTACACTAGTCTAAAGACAGGAGAAACACTGTGCCCTCAACGATCCAGTCTGATCATTTACCGTAATTCACTGCCGTGACACTGACCGTACCCGTGGTATTACAGCTAGATTCACATGCTATTATGTTATTAATATAGACAGGGCCAGATTTACTAAACAGGGCAAATTAGCGCGAGAGCGCAGTTCCAAAAAAGCGCTGATGGGAGTGGAAATTTCTGCAGGTGATTTACTGACAATGTGCAAATTAAAGCACACAGACACAGAAGATCATTTCCAGAATGACCAACAGTCTATCAAGAGCAGCGCAAACGAGCGTCTGCTTTTTTGGGCGTTAAATAATGGAGCAAATAGCAGCGTCTGAAAGGGAATCTCCTACAAATGCATACTCAATAAGGCCAGGCGCATAAATATCTGTCCATGCGTTTTCAGCGCTAATTCTTCACTGCGCGTCTTTAGTGAATCCTGACAGTACTATTTTAATGCCAAAAGACGGTTTGCGCAAGCTGTTAGTAAATCTGGCACTAAATGTCTTATAAGTAGGGCTGTCGCGATTCGTCGATTTTATTCGACTATTCGATTTTTTTAAATCCTCGACTTCATTTTGCTCGTCGACTAACCGGCAGAACACCGGAAGTGACGCATTTCACGGACGAGAATCCATAAAGCACATTATTAGACTGTTCCCCAAGGCTGCATGATATATTAAACCCATTTACATATCACAATTAGACAGCTATTTCAGAATGAGATTGCTTCTCTCCCGTACATTGTGTCCTACTGGAATGGCCAGTTTATCAACATTCCATGGAAGAATGTGTGGACTTTGTCGTCTAAATATTTAATAACCAATAAGGTCAAGGATGTGTCCTACAAATTACTTCATCTTTTTTATCCTGTAAAGCTTTACTTAAAAAGAATGTTTCCTGATATTGACTCTTTATGTTCTTTTTGTGGTGCTGAAGATGAATCTATTTCTCATCTCTTCTGGGAATGCTCATATACAAGAATGTTCTGGATGGATTTCTGTATTTTTGTACGCACATTTTCATCACAAAGTTTTTCTTTGTTATACAAAGATGTTTTATTTGGTCAGCACAATTTTGATAAAGATGCAAAGGCCCAATATTTCTTGATAAATTTGTTTATTTTTCTAGCAAAATTTTTCTTACATAAATGTAAATTTCAGGGTGCTAAGCCTTACTTTTTTATTTTTCATAAGGAACTTAAACCCTATCTGGACACACTCCTTACATCCAGCAACGCCATTGTGTCATTTGTACGATATTTTCCTGATTTTGTAACTTGAATTTGTACTCTCAATTGTATGTACTCCTGGCATTGATGGTGTATGTTCTTAGCAATGCAATAAAAAAATAAAAAAATAAATTAAAAAACTACATTTCTAACTGGCATGCACTGCTTCAAGTCAGCCGCCGATCGGTCTGCGCAGTGCTGCATGAAGTCGAACGCACCTAATCACTGCATCACAGCATCATCACGTGTCACTTCAGCTCAAAGCCTTCCCATCGACATGTGCTCATTTCACTCGGCTGAAGCCTTTCTATGATCATCGGTCAGTGCACTGTGCAGTAAACACAGCTGATGTTTCAGACCACCGCTAACACTGACAGTCTCTCTGTGATTTACACTAGTCTAAAGACAGGAGAAACACTGTGCCCTCAACGATCCAGTCTGATCATTTACCGTAATTCACTGCCGTGACACTGACCGTACCCGTGGTATTACAGCTAGATTCACATGCTATTATGTTATTAATATAGACAGGGCCAGATTTACTAAACAGGGCAAATTAGCGCGAGAGCGCAGTTCCAAAAAAGCGCTGATGGGAGTGGAAATTTCTGCAGGTGATTTACTGACAATGTGCAAATTAAAGCACACAGACACAGAAGATCATTTCCAGAATGACCAACAGTCTATCAAGAGCAGCGCAAACGAGCGTCTGCTTTTTTGGGCGTTAAATAATGGAGCAAATAGCAGCGTCTGAAAGGGAATCTCCTACAAATGCATACTCAATAAGGCCAGGCGCATAAATATCTGTCCATGCGTTTTCAGCGCTAATTCTTCACTGCGCGTCTTTAGTGAATCCTGACAGTACTATTTTAATGCCAAAAGACGGTTTGCGCAAGCTGTTAGTAAATCTGGCACTAAATGTCTTATAAGTAGGGCTGTCACGATTCGTCGATTTTATTCGACTATTCGATTTTTTTAAATCCTCAACTTCATTTTGCTCGTCGACTAACCGGCAGAACACCGGAAGTGACGCATTTCACGGACGAGAATCCATAAAGCACATTATTAGACTGTTTCCCAAGGCTGCATGATATATTAAACCCATTTAAATATCACAATTAAGCATAATTGTGAATTCACAAACGCTACGATTTAATTAAATAGTTATATGCGATGCAGTTCTAATACAGTATTATATTAATATATATAACGGTTATCATTCACACGTGTGGAGCGTCTCAAACTCATCTCTGCATGTTGTTGTGAGTTTGGGTTTATTATAACCTTCATCTGGGAACGCAACGTGCACCATTTCATCAGATTTGTAAGGTTAATCATTTATAAATCTACGCAAACTCAGGAGAATACATCGCGGGTTCAAAATAAAAGCTCAAACCCTCACTCTGAGTTTACACGGTGTGATGTCCACATATTAATTTAATTACAGTGGCTATACCATTTCTGTCCTAAAGAAATGGCCA